CAACCGGGCCCACCGCCGCCAGCACCCCCCAACTGGGGGCACCCCCCAGCCCGGGGCCGAGGTGCCCCGAGGTGCCCGGGGCTGGGGACCCGCGGGGCCGGGTGACACGGGGACGCGGCGCAGGCCGCAGCCGGGGGGAGACCTCGGTGCCTCCCCTCGCGTGGGGTGCTTTGGGGTGGGCGCAGCCGGCGGTGCCCGGCCCTGCACGGGGGTTTGGGAACCCTGGGAGCTGCAGGGAGGTGCAAAGCGACCACGTCCTGGCAGCCATGCGCCATCCCGGCACGCTCCTCTGGGCCCTTCCGCACTGGGAAGGCGATAATGAGCTGGGAAGACCCATTCCCAGGAGACCCGAGATGGCTCCTATCAAAATCACAGCCCCTTCAGAGAAAGCCCTGCCTAGCAGCTCCCATTAACGTATCTTCTGTTCTGCTCTTCCCTCGTTTGCTGTTCCAGGACATTTCCATAGAAACAGGATCCCAGCTCCTTCACAGTCCAGTTTCCAATAACTACAAACCGCATTAGCGCGAGGGCAGCGGCACCCGGCCACGCTGCACGCCGGCACGCAGCCGCCGGCCACCGATGCATCCCCGGCTGGCCCTCGCTACCATCGCTTGGGACGGGACTCAGTCCCTGCACAGGGAGCAGGGAAGGTCCCAGCCTGTTACACGTTCCCACCTCCGCCAGTGCCCCGGTGACCCGCCAGCCCCGCAGCCCTGGGCACTGCTCCTCCGCCGCACCGGGAGCTGGGCTGTGTCCTCTGCACCGGAGCAGCTGCCTTTCGCTCTGTGCCAGTGCTCGGTTGCCCTGAAGATGGCAGGAACCATCTGTCCCGATGGCTCCCCTCTGCCGCCTGGGCTGGGCATCCATCTGCCAGGAGAACAGGAGGGAGCTCTGGACTCAGGATTAATCAGAATTTGGTCCCTTCTATACTTTACCGCTGGCACAGGGGCCAGGAGGGTACGTGTGCCGTATCCGTTTTAGAGAAAACCTATTTCCTTGTATGTTATTTGCTTTTCACTGTTTATTTGCTTGCTAAATACCCTGTTAACAGAGGTGGTGGCAGCACAAATGTTACTGAACCGCAGCAACAAGGCCAGCTTCCCTGGGGGTATGTGATTGCTGATCCAGATGGATCCCAGAAAGATTCCGGGGTCCGCGGGAATCCAGCCCAGGCAGGCAGCTCCAGGTGCAGCTGCTGGGGGTCACAACTCCCGTCTGCAGTCGCTGGGTGTTGACTCGACCCTCGGGATGCCCATCTCAGCCCGGGGAGTCGCCCCTGGCCTGAGGCTGGGTCCCCTGTGAGTGGCAGAGGACTTGGTGTGCCACATCGCAGGTCTCGTGCCTGGTTTGTATGGCTGCGGCCCCGTGCCCCACAACGGCCAGCTGCAGACCCCCGAGGCAGCGAGCCGAGCTGCCCGGTCTCACCGGGTGCCACCATTACATCTCTTCTGCCCTGCAGCCCATGTCAGGGGTCTGTCCGTGGAGAGCCCTGCGGACGGGTCCCCTTCCTCCAAAAGGAGGGAGAAGGACGGAAGGTGCTAAGAGGCAGGAGCCCGGGGCTTTTCAGGTCTGACCTGAGGCCCACGCAGCTGGCCAGGAGCTGGGCTGCAGCTCGCCCCTGCCTGAGGCGCTCAGGCCCTGCTCGCAGTCAGCCCACACACTCGTACCGAGCTCTGCTGCTCTGCAACCCCCCCTGTCATTTATTGATGACCGTGAGTCCTACAGTCTTGAACGGGCAATTAAGACAGGCTAATAAACAATCATAATGAAGGCATCGTGGCCTCATAAAACACCATGTAGAAGCGCCATCAGATATCAACAGTGCATCAAATTACTAAGGGCAGAGCCAGCCTACTTGCTCCCCTGACCCCGAGCTGTCGCGGGGACAGCGTGGAGCCACGGCTCTGCATACATGCAGATGCTGAAACGGAAAAGGTGCCAGGTTCCCAGGCAGCCAGGGCGCAGCACGGACATGTCACGCACAGCACCTTGCACAGCTCTGGTCTCTGTAAAGCTGCTCCAGCCCTGCCTGACTTAAACCAACAGCATCTGCCAGCCAGGAGAGCCCGGGCTGCCTGACAAAGCTTTGAACTTGGCCTCGGACAGGCAGGCGAGTTTCTCCTGCCTGTTTCTCACTTTTGCCATTGCGAACATGCTGTTGGAGGCGTTGACCTGCCTCTTGACTTGCAGAAGAATGGGGACAAGAATTGTTCGGTTTAGTACCTGAATCAGGAAAACGAGTCTGTCCAAGCTGAGCCAAAACAACGCTTTCAGGACCCTTCCCAACAAACGAACAAACCCCACTTATTTTAAGGGCCGAGATGAGCCCAAACAACTTTTACAGCACCCAGAACAGGGGTGATGCCGAGGGGACCCACGCTCCCCCGGGGCTCTGCCGAGCTCGGGGGAGCAATGACCACCTGGTGAGCTTGACTGAAACGCACCGCGCTGGCAGAGGGAAGCCCAGAGGAGCAAGAAGATCATTGTGATTCCCGTTAATGAACCGTGCTGGTTTTGTACAATCTTCAGTCCTGTCAATCTCTCTGCAATACTCCAGGCTAACCAACACGGGGTGGGCAGCGTCCACACGCCGAACGAACCCAGAGAGCTGCAGGTGGTCAGTGGTGCCAGCGCTTCTGTGGGACCATGTACTAAGTAAGGCAACGCTTAGGCCATTTCAGAGGGAGAAAAAGTTATTTTCCTGGCTTCTTTCTCCCCAGGAACACCGGTGCTATACAGGGGGGTGGGAGCTCTTACTAATTTATTGCCTTCCTTTGGGGAGGAATTCATTGCAACAAGCACAGGGACAAGCTCTCCATAAACCTTGCTGATTCTTTTTCCTTGGAAAATTCTGCTTCTCCCTGGATTAAAGATGGGTGGAAGATGACTGGCCTCTGTTTCTGAAGTCTGGAGAGCTTAAATGAGAGCAGTTGATCTATACTTAATGTGATTAAGTTACATCTCTGAGTATCACGCTAATTAAATTAAACTTCCCACTGCTGCCTCTGCGGCTTAAACAGGATAGTTGTTTTAAGACCACAATTCACTTTTCTGCATTTCATTGCATGGATGAGCAGGTAGGATAAAAGCAATCTGCTAATTAAATAATCGTACTGTTTAGAAACAACTTCTAACTTGATGGAAATTCAAATTTAAATCTGATGTGAGCTAGATTTAAACTCTACATTTTAAATCTAAACTGATTTGTAATTTGTGCTTTGAGTAAAGAAAATAACAGGAAAAAGCAAAATTAAACTGACAAAGGGAGCACACGGAGTACGTCTGACCACGACATTGCAGGAATTTAGACAACGTGACGGCTGATGCGCAGGGGACCAGCCGGCTTTCAGAGCATGAGCTGCAGCAAATAAAAGGCAGAGCCCCCCATCGTAGCTGCCTGCCGGCTGCCCCTTCCCCACCACGGGCCACAGCGAACGCTCGGATCCAGCACCCCTGACTTCAGCTGTGTATTATTTCAAATGCTGCGTAGTCTCCATAGCCTTCTCTCCGAAATGCTTCTAATTGAATGTCAGATGACGGACAAAAATATTTGGCTACAATTGGCAAAATAGCAGCATTTTACCCAGAATACTCCCCCATCTGGTGTGTCACTGACGAGCACACTGTGTAGTACAGGTGATGGGCCAGGCTGGAAAACTGTGACCAGAATAAACAAAACTCTGGGGAAAACTCGTCTCTCCAGCAAGTCACAGAGCCAGGATCCTGCTGGGAGCTCGGCGCTCGCAGGGCCGCAAAACACCGGGGCTGAGTCTGGGGAGCACAACTCCTCACAAGGAAAACCATCTCCCGAAGACACCTCTCCCTCTGCCCTCCTCCTGTTCTCCAGCAGCCCTGAGAGCCTGCAATGGTTTTTCCGGCTTGCAGCTTCTAAAAAAAAATTGAGATTTCAAAGCTCTCTCCTCATTGACTTGACAGCAGCAGCCTTGACCTGTTGCCGGAGAAGAGGCAGCCGCATTAGCGGGGTGGGGCAGAGAGGCAGGGGGGAGGGGCCGGGGGGGGGGGGC